AGGCTATAATATTACCTAAGTAAACAGGAAGTGCATTGTAAGCAACTTCCAAAAATCTAGAATGACAGAGACAGCTGGCTGTTAGAGTTATAACTTACATTTTTTGGAAGTAACTTTTTTGCACTTCCTGTTTTACTAGGTAATATTCTTTTATTTTCAGGTCTCTGAGGGAGTTGAAAATTAGATAATTATAGTTATAGTTCAGAAAAGAAACTCACTAAGAAGTGTTAAGTGTATAAGTTTGAAAGACATCAAAAGATAGTTTTTGGTTGGTAAATAAGTTAGGATAGAAAGTGAATTAGATGCATTTTGGACTCATTAAAATAGGATAGATAACGAAGTATTTTCTCTAAATTTATCAAATGCAAATGGACTAGACATTGTTGATATATTTATTGCTTGTAAATATTATATATAGTCATTGTACTTGTTGATATAGTTATTGTACTTATTGTATATAGTTTTTCTTATATTAGTTATAACTTTTTTTATTTTTTACTTTAGACAAAAAAGAGAAAATGTGGTGATGTATTGTGTCTGCAATATATTGTGAACCCTAATCAAGTTAATCTGATGATCGGAGGAAAAAGCTAGCTACTAAAGAAAACATAGAAGTCAGGCAATAATAGCACATGCCTTTAATCCTATCACTTGGGAGGCAGATCCATCTGGATCTCTGTGATTTCAAGACTACACTGGGAACAGAGGCAGGCATGGCGGTACATACCTTTAATCCTGGCACTAACTATAAAGGTCTGGAGGTTTGTATAGACAGACAGGAAGTGACAGAGCTTGGCAGGAAGAGGAAGTGATATAGCTGGGCAGAGAGAGGAAATGAGAGGGCAGAATAGAAAGGCATATAGGCATGGGTATACAGAAAGTAAGTCTCTTTGGAGACTGACGTGTCGTGAGGTGAGGTTGTCTGTGACTTGTCCTATTTCTCTGATCTCTCTGTTTTTCACCCGAATATCTGGCTCTGGGTTTTTATTAATAATACCATCTAGCATTACAACTACAGGTGATCTTGTTGCTAGGCAGGGCATCCAGGGGCAGGATTATCAAGAGCTCTAAGCACTACATACCTCCCTGCCCTTGGTGCCAGCAGACTCAAGGCTCACCAGATTGACCTTTGTACTTGCAGCCTGTGGGCATCCCCTTCTCACAGTAGGGTGAGCTGCACAGGCTCTGTGCTGCAGTTCACCACAGACCGAAGACTGGCTCTATTCAGTAATGTCATGTTTTTTGTCTGCTGCAACCAAGCTCTCATATGGCTGCCATACCAGTAAATGCCTGTCTGTCATTTTACTATTCTCTGCCACACATGTGACTCAACCATCTTTCCATCCAATTTTGTGAGTCCCCCTTTTTTTAAAGTATCTTCCTATAAGATCTACCTATTTTTTTAGTTGTTCTGCAGATACTGTGGGCTCTGCAGACTCCCGTGTTACTGCCCCTGCCACATCACCCCTCAGAGCCTCCATGGGTCTTTCAGGCTCCCTTGGAAATGCTCTTTATGTTGATCTGATCAAATGATGTTTGTTTACTTTGTATTTTAACTTTAGACACTCATGGAATTCTAGAGATTAATCTGCTGCTTCATAAGCTTTCTCTTCAATAATTGCTTTTCTGTGCTATGCCAAAGTTTATTTTCATGTAAACTCATTTGACATTTTGAGATTAGTTCCTATGTTGTTGGATTTAGAAAGTCTTTGTGTATGCCTCTGTCTTGAAGTGTTTTGCTTTTGTTTTCCTGTGGATAGTTTATTTAGGTTATTAGGAAATTTCTATAAATTTCCATATTTATAGAAACATGTATAGAAATGGATGTATAGGTTAGTGACAAGTAAGGAAAAATCAGTGGAATTAGAAATAGTTGATAAACAACTTCATGATATATATGTGGATGTTTACATTTGAGAGTTCATTTTAAATGGAATTAAAGGATTGGATGTATGAGTGAAGAAGCATATTTTGTACACATATTTTAACGTAAGTATGTAAACAAGGTTATACACATATACACACATAGAGGAGTATAAATGTATGAGGTGTATTATAAAGTATTGTATGACTTTAGGCTGATTGACAATGAAAAATGAAGACATGGTGGATAGAAAACTGGATTAAGTGATTGAGATTTACTTGAAAGTGTATGTGGGTCTGGCAATTCAAAAGAAGCTAATTTCTTTTTTTTGTTTTTTGTTTTTTGTTTTTTGTTTTTCGAGACAGGGTTTCTCTGTGTAGCTTTGCACCTTTCCTGGGACTCACTTGGTAGCCCAGGCTGGCCTCGAACTCACAGAGATCCACCTGCCTCTGCCTCCCGAGTGCTGGGATTAAAGGCGTGCGCCACCACCGAAGCTAATTTCTTAATCTCAATGACCTAAATTTGTGTGTATTTCCCACAGTGAGTTGTTAACCATGATTTTTAAAGGTCCTGTGTTTGTGTTAGTCACTTGTGCTAAATGTCACATAGAAAGTAACATTTGTTTTTGCTTTTATCTCCATATAAAATTCCATGGCTTATTGATTGTCAGAGAGTATAGGTGAGGTCATATAATTGCCCTAAAAAATACTATCAGGGAGTACTATCACTCCAGGTTTTACAGAATATATTCCAATGAAAACTAAGGAAAAACTATATTGCTAAAAATTACATATTTAAATATAAATTAATTTTAATTATTTCACTATTAAAATGGCTGAAGTGATAGACATTGAAGTCATTATTAATAGTTATTGTTTACCTTGCCATCTTATATACATGTATCAAGCATGATATACTCATACATGTATACAATTACATTTTTGTCAAAGGTAATTTACATTGTATAACTAGCTAAACAATTACTGATGCATATCACTGAATGTATTTCTAATTTGAGATTAAGTTTCTACTCATTAAATTTTTCTTCTTGGTAGTTAGAACTAGTGAAAATGCCATTCACCTAAAACCCCAGAGTGTATGAAGTACAGGACTCACTTCCTTAAGTGAATTGAAGCAATTTGTAGATTATGTCACATTTTTCTATTTTTATGACAGAAATATTTGATTTTATAAGATGGTTATTTGCATAATGACTGCTCATTTTTTGTGGTAGAGCAAGAATAGAGCAACCATAATACAACTCCAAATCCTAAGCTGTCAACTGTGACAGATACAATAATCAGCACGTGTGGATATATTTATGGCCTCTAGTTGTAGCAAGCAATGTCTCATTAGCCCTTATGAGAGTCTCACTTATACTCTACTTTCCTGCCCTACTTTGGGCCTGGAGGTCATTTTCTCATTTGCCTCATGAGCTCCTTGATTGTTTTTAAGAGAGGCAGAGGGGCTCTCTTAAAATCATTGTAGAGACTTATTTATATAGTTGTTTATTCCCAGAGTTTAGGTCTAAAGCAATCAAAAATATTTTTTCAGGTATTTTTTATTATTTTCATTTATTTGGATGTCTGTTTGTGTGTGAATGCCACAAGTATGCAGGTGCCTGAGGAGTAGAGAAGATTATATCAGATCCTACTGGAGCTTCGGTTATGAGCTTCCCAACATGGTTTCAAGGAACCAAACTTGGGTCTTCTTGAAGATTAACAAGTCTTTTACCTCTGAGATATCCCTCTAGCTGTAAAATATGTTTTTGTTTGTTTGCTTGTTCCATAGGTGTGTAATAGAGAGCTTATCTAGTATGCGGGAGGCCCTGGATACAGACCTTAGCTTCATACAACCAGTAGTATAAATGCATGTTTCTTGTGCTTGTGTCTGCAGTAGCCTATATATGAGTACCCATCTGTTATCTGTGGCTCACAAAGAAATATTGATAAATGAGGTCACAAAAGGGTATTGTTGTGTAATAGTAAAAATACCATGTGGAACAAAGGTGCCATATGAGTCATTGGATATTCTTTTGAATGATTACTCAATTTTATCATACTAAGACACAAAATGTTGGTTTCTGTGACTTCAAACTGACTAGATGGGATGCTGTATATAGTTCAAGTACAATGCTATAGAAAGTGAAGATCAGCAGAAGGCAATATTTTTGTTTGTAATTCCAGCACTTAGGAGGTTAAATCAGGAAGGTAAGTTCAAATATAGGATGGCTGCTTAGTGTGATTCTGTTGATACAAACCAACAAACAAAAATGATAGGTTACAGTTGATGTTTTAAGATAATTTATAAAGTCTGGCTAGGAATATTGATTAAGAGCACATATTGTTCTTGCACAGAACCTAGGTTCAGTTCTTAGGACCCATAACCCCAGTTCCAGGATATTTTATGCCTGCTTATGTCCTCTTTAGGCACTAGACATGTGCATGCTTGCAAGAAAAGCACTCATACACATTAAATTAAAATAAATTACAAAACAGAGAATTGAAAAGGACCTGGAGTGATAACTTAGCTGATAAGAGCACTTGGTACTCTTTCAGAGGACTTGAGCTCAGTTCTAAGCACCTATCTTTGGTGTTTCACAGTTGCTTATAACTCCAGCTCCATGTGATCCAACATCCTTTTGTAGCCTCCATGGGCACTGTACTTTTATGTACACAAACATGCAGAAAGACATATACATATACACACGTTTTTAAATTTTTAAATAAATGTAGGGATAAGTGTATAGACAAATCTGTTACATGATCAGGTTTCATGTGCCTTGACAGATATAATCATTCTTATGGCTTGATTAAAAACAGAATGCTACAGATAGATGACTCATATAAGAACAAACTGATACTGCAAATCATGTGTAAAGTTGAAGGAAAAGACAAATAGCTGAAGGGTGAAACCATAGTAGTGTTCTTAAAACAAAATATTTTTACAGTAAAAAAAATTCAAATTGCAAAATTACTAGTGAGTGGACAAACTAATTTTTTTCTAATCAAGATTATTTTCCACTTTATCTTAATTACTTATTAGAGAATATTCTTATATGTTGCAGGCTGACCTTTAATGAACTGTGTAGCAAAAGATAACCATTTAACTTTTGATTCCCCTGCTCCTACTTTAGGAGGATTCCGAGATTACAATCACGTATCACAGCACCAGGTTTATGTGGTTCTGGGGCTGAAACTCAGAGATTCCTGAAGGCTGGATAACTACTCTACCAATTGAAGTACTACACCCAAACCAAAGGTAAACTTTTATATTTTAATAATTTGGAGTCTGGCATCATAGCCAATACCGCAATTCCCAGTACTCAGGAAATTGTTATAGGAGGATTATAAGAGTTCAGGGCCATTTTAAGAGATGACTCAGTGGTTAAGGGCACTGGCTGCTCTTCTAGATGGACCTGGGTTCAAATCCCAGCACCCACATAGCAGCTCACACCTATCTGTGACTCCAGTTTCAGGAGACCCGACATCCATGGCAAAAACACCAATGCACGTAAAAAAAGAAAAAAATAATAATAAAACACCCATCTTAAACTATATAACACCCATGGCATAGTGTCTTTCACCTTTAATGCCAACGTTCAGAATGCTGAGGTTGAATGAGCACTGGGAATTCAAAGAAAGTCTGAGATGTATATTGAGTTCCAGTTTAGGCTGGGATAGAGTCAGAATATGTATAAAAATAACAATACTAAAAAATACATAAAATCAAAACAATTTGGGTACTCTGGGATTTTGTGTATGTCAGTCAACAATTTTATGATTGCATTCTTGTCATAGTATGTGCCATTTTCTTTCATATTTTCTATAGCTCTACTAAAATGTTTTCAATACAAGAAGTAAGAGTTTAAGCTGAGTATGTTGGGGCATACCTGTAAGTTAAGATACAGGGAGGCATATGCAGTTCTATTTTTAATTCAAGAATAGGCTAGGTTACATCCAGAAAGCCCCTCTGAAAAATAAGTCATACTTTCAGATACTTTATAGCCTGTCACTTCCATGTCAATCTAAATCGGAGTGTTTATTTTTGTAGACTTTATTCTCTGAAAGAGCTCACAGGCATCAGTACATTTGTTGTACTATTTGTAAATTTTCATTTAATATATTCAATCTGATATGTTTACAATATTTGAAGATAGAACATATGCTATTTGAATTTCATAAAATATACAAAACATCAGATTGTGAAGTGATTGTCAGCCTTAATAGAAAGTACAAGTTTTTCTAAATTTTGATTTAGTTTTTATAGGAGCATTATATACATTTTGACTTATATTTTCTATTATGTCCATAAACTGTTATTTGCATCTAATACAGGAATAGTGTTGTACAACTCTAGCCCTGGCTACTCAAGACAATACAGGAAGACTGAAAGTTTGAGGTCAGCTTGGCAACACTGAGACCTCTTCTCCGCATCTCAACAACAAAAAAGGTGATGATATTATCTACACAGGGTCTCTAATCTTTTATCTGTATCTGTATACTCAGTAAATGTAAATTTTCTAAATTTATCAATAAATGTTTAAGAATATACCAATGGTGGATGAATAGAGGAAAACTGGGAAGCAGGTAAAGAAAAAAACTGAAAGATGTATAGACATATGTCAAAAAGATAGTGGGATGTAACATTTGCTACATGTGGCATAGGGGAGTTGAAGGTTGAGTATTAGTTCCATGTGCATGATTACCAGTGTTACTAACTGTATTGGGTAGTACATAGTTTCTGATGTAAAAGTAGATTGCTAATACCCTTTTATTTGATGAATGAATGAAAATTTTCAAACATGATTTAATTTCTTCTCACAAGGTTCCTTTAAAAGCAAGCACCAAATAAATATCAGCTATAGGTAAGATCTTGAAGGCATATATTATAATATTTAAGATGTTCTTTTGTCTACATTGATTATAAGTAATAACTTAGCTGGGCATGGGTGGCACATACCTTTAATACCAGCACTCAGGAGGTAGAAACAGGTGGATCTCTGTGTTTGAGGCCATCCTGGCCTGCAGAGAGAGTTCCATAACAGCCAGAGCTACAAAGAAACCCAGTCTTGAAAAAGAAAACAAACAAACAAAATCACTGTCTTAGTTGTTCAAAATTGTTTTTTTTTCTTATAAACATACATTATGGCCTATATATTTATCAAATATTTTAATAAAAACTTAATTTGTTATGATGGGACAGCATTCCATGAAACTGATATTTAAAATACAAGTGCTTTCTTATCCTTAGTGATTTTGTTAATTTTCAATTGCTATGAGAAAAAACAACAACAACAACAACAACATGACCAAGGGAACTTATAAAGGCAATCATTTACTGAGGATTTGCAGTTCATAGGGTTAGTCCATGACCATCACAGAAGAAAGAATGGCAGCAAGCAGGCAGACATGGTGTTGGAGTAGTAGCTGAGATCTTACATCTTGATCCACTAGCAGAAGGCAGAAAAGTATCTGAGAATGACCTGGGCTTTTGAACTATCCAAACTCACCACCAATAACATACCTCCTCCAACAAGGCCACATCTCTCAGTCATTGCTCAGCAGTTCTACCACCTGGGGATGTGATGACTAAAGTTATGCTTTAAGTTTAAATTACTGTGCTTAAGAGATCTATAAACCAAAAATGCCTCTAATCTGTGAGCCCCACTTGCCTAAGGACAGATAATTTCCTAGAGTGCTTGGGGCTATTGTTCATGTAAGATAACAAACCAAACATTTCATTTTGTAAATAAAGTTTGTTGGCCCAACTGCACAGGACATGCTTGATCACATGCATATTTAAGTCCTTGTCATCTTCTAAGATTTTAAAAAAATTATTGAGTTCATCATTTTTTTACCCCAACAATAGTTCTTAGATGAGAAATATCTCCAAATAATCTTTGAAAGTCATTAAGAGTCTGTAGTCTATCTCTCCTAATTTGCACCTTTTGGGGTCTAATTTTTTGTAGCTCTATTTTATATCCTAAATAATTAATAGAATCTCCTCTTTGCATCTTTTCAGGAGCAATTTGTAATCCCCAGCAAGGCAAAATTTTCTTTACTTCTTCAAACATTCTTTCTAAAGTATTTGCATTTGAGTCAGCTAGTAAAATATCATCCATATAATGATAAAGTATAGATTTAGAAAATTTTTTACGTACCACTTCCAATGCCTGTTGTACAAAATATTGGCACAGAGTTGGGCTATTCAACATTCCCTGTGGGAGGACCCTCCATTGAAATCTTTTAACCGGTTGAGAATTATTATAAGTAGGCACTGTGAAGGCAAATCTTTCTCTGTCTTTTTCTTGTAAGGGTATTGAAAAGAAACAGTCTTTTAAATCAATAACTATGAGAGACCATCCTTTTGGTAATAGAGTAGGCAAAGGAATTCCAGATTGTAGAGAGCCCATTGGCTGAATTACTTTGTTAATTGCTCTAAGGTCTGTTACCATTATCCATTTACCAGATTTCTTTTTAATAACAAATACAGGAGATTTCCAAGGGCTGGTTGATTCTTCAATATGCTGAGCATTTAACTATTCTTCTACCAGCTCTTTTAAAGTCTGGAGTTTCTCTGTTGTTAAAGGCCATTGCTTAACCCATACAGGCTTGTCTGTTGACCATTTTAAAGGTAGAGCTGTTGGTGTTTTGGGAAGATTATTAGTTGTTGTGCCCTGTTCTTGTATGACATGGATGGCTGGTGACCACTCATTATAATAATATCTTCTAATATTTCTCTCAGAAACATGTACTAGTTTATGATTTGTTTCTGAGATTGGAGGGATGTTAATCTGAATATTCCATTGTTGCAACAAGTCTCTACCCCACAGGTTCATAGCTATGTTAGCCACATATGGTTTTAATTTTCCTTTCTGTCCTTCTGGACCTATACATTTGAGCCATCTCATGCGAGATAATGTCCCAATTCCTGTCCCAAACAGTTGAATGTTTACCTCTTGAAGAGGCCAAGTTGGATGCCAAAATTCTGGTGCAATTATGGTAATATCTGCACCTGTGTCTACCAGACCAGACAACAAAACACCATTTATTTTTATTGTTAATTTTGGTCTTTTTTCATTAATAGAGGTTTGCCAAAAAGTTTTCTTTATGTTTTTTTTCTGAATTTCCTATTCTCTCTGTTTCATCATCCCGACCAGCATGATTTATTCCAATAGGCATTTGATTATTTAGTTGCTTTGAGTAGGGGTTTCCTCTACAACTGCAGGAAAGGTTTGAACTGGATTTACTGTGGGGGCCTGCCTGAGGCCCCTGTGGGAGTTTCCTGAAGCCTGAGGCAAAGGATTACCCTGTCTGTCCCTTGTTGATCTACATTCGTTGGTCCAGTGTTTTCCCTTACCACACCTTCTGCATACTCCAGAAGGAAGGGGTATTCTGTTGCCAGTGTTCCTTGAAGAAACATTATTTCTAGGAATGACCTGTTTACAATCCCTTTTCAAATGTCCTTGCTTTCCACATCCAAAACTTCTAACATTTCTCAAACCTTTTGAAATTGCTTTTCCTACCCACATATCATTATGGTCATGAGCCTCAACATTAACCGTGTCTCTAATCCAATCTTCCAAGGGTGCAGATCTTGCATTTAAAGGCCTGATTATTCTTTTGCATGCTGCATTTGCATTCTCAAAGGCCAAAGATTCGATTATTATATGACTAGCCTCTGAATTTGGGACCATTCTCTGTACTGCTGAAGTCAATCTTTGTAAGAAATCTGTGAAAAATTCTTTTGGGCCCTGTATAACCTTTGTAAATGACTCAGTTTTTTTACTGGTTCCTCAACTCTGTCCCATGCATTCAAGGCTGCCGTTCAACATAGAATTAGGGTTTGGACATCATATAAACATTGTGTTTGTACTGAAGCATATTGGCCTTATCCAATAAGCTGATCCTGGCAGACTTGTATTCCTTTATCCCTCCATTGTTTTTCTATATTTTTAGTCTCCTCCTTTAACCACATTTTCCACTGGAGATTTTGTCCAGGTTTAAGAACAGCCTGTGCCAGCTCCCACCAGTCCTGTAGTAGAATCCTATTACAAGTTGATCAAGAGTTTAACATTTGTTTTACATATGGGGAATGCATGCTATAAGATGCTATTGCCTCCTTAAATCTTCATAAGTCTAACATTTCAATTGGAATCCAAGTATTTTGTCCATTCTCTTCACCAGGTAGCTGCTATATGGCTACTGGATAAATTAAGGGTGATTGTGTGAAAACAGGCTTTCTTTCTGTAACCTTATGATCCAATTTTGAAACAACTTCACTGTTAATTTCTTCTGTCTGAATTTAAATTTCTCTATAATTCATTTTTACAGGTTTAACAGGTTTTTCTAAGACTGTTATCCTGGCACTTAAATTGACTATCTTTTTAAATAGTAAAATGAGGTTAAGAAAAGTAATAAACTGCATAATTCGATCAATATTAATCTTCTCATATAGTTGTTTCATTGTTAGAGTGCCTAAAATTTCAAACAAAGCCCAATTCTCTTCCAATGTACACATAAAGCCCATTTTTTTTAATGTAGAAAAAAATTCTCTTTTAAATAGATATGTTAATTGACTTACCAAGTCTGCGTAGAATAGTAGAAATCCAAAGGGAATTTCAAAACAGCCACCTGGTGTCCTAGGTGTGAATCCAGAGAGAGAGAGAGAGAGAGAGAGAGAGAGAGAGAGAGAGAGAGAGAAAGAGAGAGAACAAGAAAGCGTAGCCACAAATTCTGGCTAAAAGCTTAAATCCAGCCACGTTTTCCCGCTTGAGCTGAGTCAAGCCTGGGCAGGCCTGAGTTGTTTGTAGCACCGGCTTTAAGTGAGTAGCAACAGCTGCATGTAACCACTTGGGTCTACGGTCGGGTCATTCTGGCCTGAGACCAAGCCGACCTGGGCCCGAGGTAGGAAGCCGGGCCACCCAGATGGGAAACCGGACCTGCTGCCAAGCCAAGCCAAGCAGTTTTTAATGGATTCTTGTCACATTGGGCGCCAAATGTAGATGTAACCAACCATCTTATTAAATAAGAAACACAGAACCAATGCAAAGAAGAAAGCCACGAGGTCAGAGCTAAGAGCTAAAACCTTACCCTTCCTCCTGCGGTGGTCCTACCTCTCCGAAAGAGAGCTACTTCCTGTGTTAAAATCTTTATAAAGACTTTCAGTTCTGCCTTCTCATTGGTTGTAAACCCAACCACATGACTGCCTCATCACTGCCTTTCTGTTCAGACCTCCAGGTCTTCTATGGTTGGTATTGAGATTAAAGGCGTGTGTCTCCAATGCTGGTTGTATGCCTGAACACACAGAGACCTACCTAGCTCTGCCTACCAAGTGCTGGGATTAAAGGCATGCGCCACCACCACCTGGCTTTCCTATGGCTTGCTAATAGCTCTGACCTCCGGGCAACTTTATTTATTAACATACAAATAACATTTTAGTACAAAATAAAATATCACCATATATTTATCACCAAATATATCTAGGTCATTCCTAGAAATAATGTTTCTTCAAGGAACATTGGCAACAGAATATTGCCTGGTGGGATTAGTAGGGACCAAGAATTCAAATATATGAGCCTGTGGGAGCTCTGCTCCTTCAAACCACTGTATTCTAGTCCCTGGCCCACAAAAGCTTCTGGTTATATCATAATTCAAAATTTAGTTGAACTTCAAAGCTCCCCATAGTCTTTGACAGTCTTAACACAGTTTTAAAGTCCAAAGTTTCATATGAAACTCTAGGCATTCTCTTAATTATAAGGCTTGTAAAATAAAAATCAAAACTCAAATTATACACTTCCAACAAACAATTCTGCAGAATGTGTATTATTTTTACGAGAAAGACAGGGATGAAGGTATAGTGAAGAAATACTGCATCAAAGTAAAACTGAAACCTAGCAGAGAAAACTCCAACTCTTTTAATCCATATCTTATGTCAAAGGGCTCACATGTCTTTCTCTTCCCAGCTCAATTGACTGAAATATACTCCTTTCTCTTGGGCTAGTTGCACTCCCTGTCTAAAGACCTACTTGACAGATATCCCATGGCTCTGATACCTCCAACATCCTGGGGTCAGCTTCATGCAATGCCCTCTCAGGACCTCCATGCAGGTACTCCACTTCCATAAATCTGTTCTCAGCAACTTTTCATAACTATAGAGGAAGATCTCAAGACCTATTTACTCTAAAGCCAGAACCACATGACCTTCACTCTCCAGTTCAGTTGCTCTCTTGGGGTAGAACTTGGCCTTTTTTGGAATTATATTTGCATAAGTTTTGATTTGTTATTGCTTCTTAGAACATTCCTTAGGTCTTTTCCTTCCACAAGTTGAAGGTAGAATCTTTCCCTGAGGGCATTATACCCTTTATTTTATTCCCTTCAGGCCTCTTCTTATCGTTTTTGTACAAGCCTTAGCTCCAACATTAAATTTTCTGGTGCTCTTTTTCTTTTCAAACTGTACATTTATAATTATTAACCTGTTTGCTGTTTTTCTTTGTGGACTTGCATAGGAATTATTACTAATAACCTAGTGACAGAATAAATATTAGGCTGTCTTGAAATCTCCTCTGCCAAAGAAATTAATCTACTATTTTTCAATTTAGTCTCAGGAAGATTGTTATTAGAAAGGAAAAAAATAACAAATTATTTGCCAAAATATCACACAATGGTCTCTAACCAAGTTACTAATATTATTCCTCTGTAAAACCTTGTGATAGACCTCCATGGGCCACACTGCCTTCTGCGCTATTATCTTCCAAGTTTCTCGTAAGATGGCCTCGTAAGCCCTGCTTTCATCATCCAACCACTTGCCATGTCCAAAAGTTCAAATTCTTACACATTCTCCCAAAAAAACAGTGTAATAAGTCTTATCACAGCAATACCTCACACCTGGTACCAGCTTCTGTCTTAGTTATTTTTTAATTGCTATGATAAAATACCATGAATAAGGAGACCTTTAAAAGAAACTATTCAGAAGGATCTTACTGTTGCAGAGGGTAAGCCCACGACTGTCATGGCAGCAGTTAGGCATTTTTATTCAAACCACTGCACTTAGAATCATCAGAAATTGCACAAGAAGCTTTTAGGAATTCAGTGACAACAGATATATGCATTGTTTTTGTTTTTCTCAGAGACAGGGATTCCTGTATGCATCCTGGATTGCCAGAAATATATAATCTATATAATCCTTTTGCTGTGGAGTCCCTTATGTGGGGATTTTGATTTTTGGAAAATATTTCCATAATATATTATTGGATATAATGCATATTTTAACAGATTAGCTGCTAACTAAGAATGTATATAGGAAATGTTATGTCCAAAAATTAATAAGTGAATAAATAACATCGAAACTCTTTAGAATATGAAATAAAAGAAGGAAATGAAATGATAGCAGTCATTTTTATAGAGTATTTTTCATTGCATTCAGAATTAGAAGCTGCTTTTATGGAGTTTTGGTAAAATCTGAGGATGATTTCTATCCATTGGAAACCAGGTAACATGTTATTCTTTTCACTTATAATCTACATTTCTGTACTCTCCCAGGTGGTGGCCATCTTGACAAATACACCAAATATACCTTCTGAAGAGGTTTTATCAACAGGATCTTCCTAATACACTTACTGTATTTACTGTTTCTGGAGTCTTATTCTACCCTTATCATCTCACAACTTGTATAGAAGCCTTCAGTGGAATAGAAAAGACCTGGTTTTGGCAAGTAATTGACTGGAACATTCAGTACTTCTGCTTTCAGAATATCTTGTACTCACGTGTTGTGCGTTACTTCTTCTCTTATTCATATTTTACATTTTAAATGGAAGAGACTTTTATGTGTAGGTAGTACAATTACTGTACACAGATATTTTTATGATACTTCAGATGATAACAAGGTTTTCTGACTAATTGAGTTTCCCTGTATACCAGTTTTGTTATCATTTGTGAGATGGTTTCATCCTCCTTTAAATAAGAACCTCAAATTTTAGGCAGTCCCCAGAGAAGATCATCTTCTACACTGGTATTCCCTAGGGAAGACCCTCCTCTGGTTTCTGTTTTATTGGCATTACTGGCCTCTGTCTGGGCCAGGAAAATGGGTCTCTGTGGTTTGTCTTTTCTCCAATACCTCAACTGCAGACTTCAATACCATTGCAACTATGAGTATGTAGAGAAATGTTATTGCATTGTTGAGGAGAACCATGCGGATGCTCTAATCACTTTATTGGTATCATCTATGTCCCTTCAGGTAAGGGTAAAACCTCACTGTTTCAAAGAGATTTGAGTTTATTACACAGTGTGTTGATTTTCACTTGTTCCTGCTTAAATTAAGTGAAGTCATAAAGTACTATTTATTTTAAATATTAGTTGTCTGTTTTTAGAACATAAGTCATACTGTTCATCAGGAAATTACTATCTGAATTTCTCAACCTGTTTTAATAATTGTTAAGAGTACAAACAACTGCTAAGAATTTTTAAAGTGTGTGCGTGTGTATGCTCTTATGTAAGTATGTTCATGTTAGGTGTCTGTGGAGGTCAGAAATCAAAGTCAGATCCCCTGGAGCTGGAGTTATGGGTGAGCCATGATCACTCAAGCACCAGATATTTTAAGGTTATTTAATAATTCCTTTCTTTGAAAGTTTGTGTGGTTTACCAGTGGAAAAAGGTGATTTCCATCCAAGCCTGGCAACCTCAGTTTTGTGTTTGTAACTCAAGTTGGAGAGAATATAGCAGAAAGCAAAAGACTTAATGGATTTTTTTCAATCTCATAAATTTGTAATGCAACACATGTCTCATTATATTATTATGGCATTGCAGTTGATTTCTGAGGTATGTTCTGTGTTATTTTTATAATATCCATTTAATTCATATACAGTGGAGTTCCTTTTTTAACAGCAAAGTTAATGTATTTCAGTTAATTTCCTATGTTAATATTTTCCAAGTTCATATTGATCTTGAGTCTAATCAGACACAGTGACAGTGCTTGAAACAGAAGATAATACAACTTGTCAGTTTGTGTTAGGGGTCACAAAACATTTTCTGTAAGGCTCCAGATTTACAGATCATGTTGTTGCAACCAGGAATCTGTTCTTGCAGTACAACAGTACCAAGGGCTAATTATGAAACTGTGACCCAGTAAATAGTTACAGTGCATAAATCCTGTGGCAGATTTGGACTCTAGCAGATGATTTCGATCCCTTAGTGTACTGTATGGTTCTAGTTTCATCCATAAGATCTTTGATAAATTTTGAAAAAGAAGAGACACAAAGAATGTCTTTGCTTGTACTAGTTTCTGAATCTTTTATATCAGTGGTTCTCAACCTGTGGATTGTGATCCCTTTGAGGTCCAACAACCCTTTCATGGAGGTCACCTAAGACTATTGTAAAACAGATATTTATACTACAATTCATAACAGTAGCCAAATTGCAGTTATGAAGTAGAAAAAAAATAATTTTATGGTTAGAGGGTCACCACAGCATGAAGAACTGTATTAAAGGGCCACAGCCTTAAGGAAGGTTGAGAAGCACTGCTCTAAACATTCAAATAGTTATATTTATCATTGAAAGAAATATTTAAGCCTTTTGATACTTGGCCCTTAAATTTATTTTAAATCAATTTTAAAGTTAGATGTTTTAGCACATTGAAATATGGCCATCAACAATGATTAAAGTATTCTGTGCTCATTCATTCTTAATCTTCTATCCACATTCCACAGCAGTGATGAGTTAAGCTTTCATGATATATATATATATATATATATATATATATATATATATATATATATATATATAGCAGTCAGTAACTTTCTTATGTTTATATAAATGTAGGTGGAGGTTGTAGATGTATGATCTTTGTATTGTTGCTTTTAAACTTTCTATTTAATATATCATGGGTGTATTTCCAAACTAGTAGTTTAGGTTTATAAAAATGTGATTTGCTCCTACATGTGATACTGTTGATGATGCCACATATAATTATATAACTTTGAAAATATATTTGGGTTCCTAATTATGTAATAGTTTTCTACGTATGGTAATATTATGTCATCTTCTGTGGTTTCTGTTACTATTGTGAAATTGCTCTTAAATGCTTTCTGGGCTAAGCCAGAGCAGTGGTGTAATGACAGTGCTAATTTTCATAGACTTGTGTTTATTATGTTTCAAAACATTTAAATAATAGTCAATCTAATGGGTGAAATAGTATTTTTAAAACTTAAGCCTAATTTAAATGTTAAGTGGCCAAGATTTTATAAAATTAAACAGTTTTTAGATGTAGAAACCACTAAATGCTTCTAATTTTTGCACTTTCTCGTAAATTCCTTTAGTATATATGGCAATGAGTTTTTTCTTTCTCTTATTTTGATCAAATTTTAGGGCCAGATGCTCTTCATCTAGGTTTACTATTTGCATTCCTTTCACTCATCATGTCCTTTCCTCTTTCCCTCCCTTTCCTCTCATCTTATTTCTGTTTATACATGTCACTTTGTTTTCTGAACCTATGTATTATTTGCAGATATGATGTTCAAATTGCCCAGTATTTTTCTGCATGTACATTATAAAAGTGTGTGTATGTTCCTTTAAACCTGGCTTAATTTTTTTTTTTTTTTGGGTTTCGTGAGATAGGGTTTCTCTGTGTAATAGCCCTAGCTGTCTTGGCACTAACTCTGTAGATCAGGCTGGCTTGGAACTCACAGAGATTCTCCTGCCTCTGCCTCCCAAGTGTTGGGATTAAAGGCTAGTGTCACCACCACACAGCTAGACCTGGTTTAAAATGTAAGAACTTTATGACTCTGATGTGTACTTTTTCCTTTATCATATCATATCATATCATATCATATCATATCATATCATATCATATCATATCATACCAAATATATTATATTATATTATTATCCCTTAGAAGCCTGTTTATTTTCTAATGAGAGACAAATGGCGATTCTATATGGGAAGGGAAGTAGAGAGGAACTGGGAAGAGTAGACAGGTGAAATCATACTTTGTGTGTGAGAAAGAAAATCTTTCATTAAAAGGAAAAAGATAAAGAATATCAGATATATCATCACTAGTTTAAAAGTGCACTATATGCATTGTATAAATTTACATGTCAATAGTTTTTTTTTCTTTCTTTTTCCATTCTGTGGAAATAACAGTATTTGCAGAAGCCATGTCTCTTTGTTATATCCATTAGGCTATCTTGGTCCTCGATGGCATTGGTGTTCTTGAGAAATAGCACACTTCAGGTTTTGAGATTCTTCAGCTTCTTATTTTTTTCCTTATGAAATATTTGAGGACATATATTTATTTAGTAATACTTCAGAATAAATGTATGTTGTCTTCAACAAATCATGCAAGTAAAATGTTTATCCTCACAATATGGATATTCATTTAGTTTAATTGGAACTGACATCTTTCTCCAGTGTTACAGTTACTTCTTCCTAAATAAACACTACATAGAAAGACAATTTTCAATTATGTAAATCTTTTTATAAGCAAATTTTAGCACTATCAATTTAAATATTCCTTGTGTTTCTATATTTGAAAACTGTAAGAAAATTTGATGACAGATCTTCTCTGAACATCTGGTAGAATTCTTCCATGAATCAATTTGAGCCTGAGCTTTTCTTATTTTTGTTGTTTTATTTTTGTGTAATATATTTTGATGATGTTGTTTGGTTCTCCCAAATTCTTCCAGATCTTCCCTACCTATCCAACTTCCTGTTCTTTCTCTCTCTCTCAAACACAAAAGCCAAACCAAACATCAAAGCAAACAAAAAAAAATCAGTAAGAGAAAAAAATGCCTAAACAAACTGAAACATAAAGCAACAAAAATAAATGTAGTCTCGGTGATGTGATTTATTTATTTCATATTTAATTTTTACAGTTGTTTTGAGACAAGCTCTCACTATGTAACCTTGGCTGTCTTAGTGTTGCCTATGTAGATTAGGCTGCCCATGAACGCATAGAGCTCCACAGAGTTTTCTCTGCTTCTACAGGTCTGGGTTGAGAGGCATACATCACCATATCTAGATGGGCTATTTATTTTTTACTTAGAAGGGATTTTGCTACTGTTTCTTTTATCTTATTTTTGGTTGTTTTTTTTGTTTGTTGTGCTTTTTTTGTTTCAGTTTTTGTTTTTGTTTTTGAGATAATGTTTCTCTGTGTAGCCTTAGCTGTCCTGGACCAGGCTAGCCTGGAACACACAGGGATCCATCTGCCTCTGCTTCTGGAGTGCTGGGATTAAAGGCATGTGTGTCCATTACCCGGCTGTTACTGTTTATATCTCCTTGTTTATTTTGAGTATCTTAACCTATTGATCTCTTCTTGGTTTTACTTTGGTGGTTTGGAGAAATCTAGAAATTCACCCAGTTGTTTTAGATTTTCTAACATAATAAAGCACGTGTTTTTAAAGTGCTCCCTTATAGTATTCTAAATTTCTTTGGTCTTTGTTATGTTTTCCTGTTCATCTCTGATTCTAGTTTTTTGGGTCATCTCTTTCCTTCTTTTGCTTAATTGGACCAAGAGTCCATCAAATTTGTTCATCTCTTCAGAGAACCAGCTCATATGTTCATTGTTTCCTTATACTTTTATTCCATTATTAATATCTGCTCTTATTTTTATTATTTCTTGCAAACTGCTGGATTGTATTTTGGTTTGTTCTTGTTTTTCCAAAATCTTGATCTATATCATTAAGTTATTTATTTGTGCTATTTCTGGTTTTTGATTTTGTTATGTTTGGTTTGGTTAACAGTTGGTCTTGCTATGTAGCCCTGGCTGTCTGAAACTTACTATGTGAAGCTGGTTACCCTTGAACTTACAGAAGTCTACCTGCTTCTGCTTCAATTTCTAATTTTTAATGTAGGATCCAGAGCTATACATTTATCTCTTAGTAATGCTTTTAATATGTCCCAGAGCTTTTGTTGTATTGTTTTATTATTAAATTACTTCCTGCTTTTAATTTTTTTCCTTTGATTTCTTCCTTGAACCATTCATCATTCAGTAATGTTTTTTTTATTTCCACGAGTTTCTGTAGTTTTGGCTGATTTAAAGTTTTATTGAATCATAGTCATGTAAGATACATAGAATTATTTCAGGTTTTTCTGAATTTTAAAAATACTTATTTTGTATAACTTAGACAACAAATGAAAAACAAATATCTATTATTTCTGTTGATATTATCATTTAAAATGAGATGGTCATATAATCTAATGCTTGAAAAAAAGATGAGTTTGAATGTTTGTATTTGGATGGCTCCCAGATGTGGGCATATCATTACCATCCTTTGGCATGAAAGGATTAATTAAAGTGATTAAATAAAAAACAAACAAAAATAGGGAGGAACATTGATAATTTACCAGTAGTATTGAATATAGACTTAGAATATGTCTGAAAACAGCCAATAGCACCAATGTTTATGGCATATCCAAGAAAGTTATTGAATATTCTCCCAAAATGAAGACACTGTTATAGTCCCTAGCTGGAAACCTTCCAGTATTCTGCTTTTCAGTTGCCTGTGTGTTTGATAATTTAAAGTTTGGTATGTTGTACTTACTTGATCACATAGGATTATGCAATAATCATTTTGTCTTTGCTTTCATTTCTCCACAAGAAAGGTAAATTCCAAATTGATAGAAACATGGATTCTAAAGATGTATTCCTTCTCAAAATTTCACATTTAGTGTTTCCTCAGAACAAATGTTCTCATTTAAGTACTTGTAGTGCTTTTGGGACAAATTGCCTTTTTATGTGTGTGTGCCATAGAGATAACTCATCAAGTATAGGTGCTTGCCACTAAGGCTAATGATCTGAGTTTTATTTCTTGCATCCATATGTTGGAAGGAAAGAATTGATTTGTACAAAGTGTCCTCTGAACTTTGGTATGAGATATACAGACATACTTTTTGAGATGAAGAGAAGGTCAATTTATATAATCCAACCCGGACAGCTTTAATCATATGATCATCTTGATGGCCTCCACTGTCAGTCTCCTTAGTACAGTGATTCCAGGGTGCACCAGCATGTTTGGCCCATGTTGTCTACATATATTTTGTTTATTCAAACATATTAGGTAAGATAAAGATCATATTGGTTGAACTCTACAGATAAATAGTAGTAACATACAAAAACTAGAATTAAGTAAGGAAGATTCATGGATATTTCAGAGTTGCATGTAATCTATGTGTTTGATATATGTATATGTAATTATGGAGAAAACCGGGATTTGGAATATATCTGTGAAGTATTGCTAGTACAATTTGATAAATTGATAATTATTACTAGGTGTTATAAGGTTTTTCAAGACAGAATAAACAGCCAGACATGTTAGCATGTACCTGTAACCCCAGTGTCTGGAGAGAGAGCGACAGAATTAGCTTGAGTTTCAGGTAAACCTGGGTTATATAGAAATATCATGTATTAACAAATAAGGAAAAACTAAAAATTAAAATCTGAGAAAAATTTGACACCATTTATTATCATTACTATATTGAACAGTTACTTTTCTCAGCATTTGATAGGGACAGGGTAGGAAGAGAAGGAGATTTTGAGAGTTTGTCATTATATTCATCCCTTAACACAAACACTTGATTTTTAGAATGGAAATAAATTAGAGCTCCAGAGAATTTAAAGAGAGAAATAATAGTTTGTATTAATCACTGTGTGATTTTCTTGTGATTGTGTGCAAATATGAGACCTAGAAACAGTGAAATGAGAGGAGGAATAGCCACTTGAAACATTTCCTTAAGTGGTCTAGCATGGAAGTGTTGAGAAAGCAGTCATTCCTTGATGTTTCTTCATCTTCTGAGTTCCCACTTGTGTTGCTTTTATTTGCCTGCATTGTAGAATGTGAACCCTTGATCCTCAAGCCTCTAGATTTACTCATTGAAAGCAAGAGAATATGGCAGACTTGGGTGTAAATTAAGTATAAAACTCAATAGCTACTGAGATAGTAATTAATTTTTTATGTCAATGAAAGACATAGTTTACAAGTATAGAGAATATAACTGTTTTAGGTAAAAGTTCTATGTGGAGAAGGGAGAAAGTAGTCAAGATCAAATCTAAGGATACATTTGAATTGATAGATTGTCCTTTGATGATGTCACTAGCCCAGATATGTATTTGTATCTGGTGAGGTTCTTTTTCAAAGTTATTTATTTATTTTTTTCATATTGATCATGTTTTTTCATCCACTTACTCTTCCCAGACTTTCCCCTCCTCCCTACCCAACAAACTTTATTCCCTCTGTCTCTAGAGTGTGTATGAAAATAGCAGAGATGTATCTCATGTGTACAATAACACATTTTCTTCAGCATTCCATATTCTTTATATGAATACACCACTGAGTATCTTTTACATCGCAGAATTCCAATAGTAATCTTTTGTTTAACTGTATCATTTTAGTTCCCACTTAGATTGTTTCTTTTAGTTCTTGTATCCATTGACTAATACCATTGAATAATATTTTTTGAGGCATGGTTGTTGAATTGCTTGGAGATGCGGATTTTGTGAAAGGTTTATAAAAGTTTGTGGTGTAATTCAACCATTTGTTGAATGTGTAAGAGCCCTAACAAAAAATAAAAACTCTAAACATAAATGAGTAAAAGATTCAAGAACATAATGCCAGGAATCAAGGGAGTAAAGCAGGATAGATGGTATATAAGGTAGAATTTGGTAGAAAGTGTAGTAGGGTAAGGTAAATTTAGTTCACAATTTTGCATATTATTTCTGAAAGACAGTAAATGATTATACCATAACTAGAGTTAGAGGAAAGCAAGAGTGTGGGAGATAGACTTGCCAACTGAATCAGGAAAGTTGTGAACCGTATCTCCAGAAATCAGTTGTAAATTATCATTCCCTCCTTTGTGACTTCGAAATGAGTGGCTATTATTCAATATACCAAGATTCATACCATGCAATTTATGATTTTTGCCCCTGACCTTTTCTTTTCATTTTTTAATCTTTTATCTGTTTAGTTTATTTTCAGAAGACTAAAAATTATGAGCTCCTATTAACAGATTTAGTAGTCATTTCAATCTTGAAACATAAATCCACATATTCTGTGTACTATTCCTTTTTTTTTTTTGGTTTTTCGAGACAGGGTTTCTCTGTGTAGCTTTGCGCCTTTTCCTGGAACTCACTTGGTAGCCCAGGCTGGCCTCAAACTCACAGAGATCCTCCTGGCTCTGCCTCCTGAGTGCTGGGATTAAAGGCGTGCGCCACCACCGCCCGGCGTACTATTCCTTTTTATTTGCTATTTGGTTCCTAACAAAGATGTCATTATAGCCCTATTGATACGTCTGTATTTTAATTTTTTATGCATGAGAAGACTTTTTGTAGAGAGCCTATGAACAGGGCATTGGTAAGACAATGTGGTATCAAAGAACAATGCTTTAAAATATTTAGAGTGAACGCTGTATTTCAACCTCTATGTCTAACTTCAGATATACCATTCATTCATCACTTACTGCTATGTGTTTATTACTGTCTTTGACCTAAGTTTTAAAAAAAAAATTATTTGTATTTTTAATTATGTGTATGTGTGTCTATGTGTGGGCATGTATGTGTGAGTGAAGGTGCCTATAGAAACCAGAAGAGTATATCAGGTTCTCTAATGTTGGAGTACAGGTAGCTATGAGTTGGCCAGAAAGGGTGTGAGGAACTGATGTCAGGTCCTCTACAAGAGGAATATATTATCTTAGCCACTGACACATCTCTCCAGCCCTGAACTGAGTTTTTAAACTTATTCATCTAGGTATCTCATACACCATAGGCATTTCCTAAAAGAACTTTATTTTCATTTTTGTGAGTCAGCTCACTTATTTAGTATTGGAATTCAAGCAGTAATAAAGAAATATCTACTTATTTATGACAGATTAGAAGAATATATTTAACTGGACATCATGGCATTATGGCACACACACCTTTAATCCCAGCACTCTAGAGGCAGACAGATCTCTGTGAATTTGAGGCTAGACTGGTCTACATAATGAGTTCCAGAACAGCTGGGGCTACTTAATAGAGAGAGTCTGTCTTAAAAAATCAGAAAAAAAACGTTACATAGTTTAGATACCATATGACAAAGGAAAATAGGAAGGAGTTATTTTTCCAAAAGATAAGAAATGGTCCTCTTTTGAAGATTTTGAAGATGCTAGAAACAGCAAGATGCCTCACAGGCAGTATATGACCAAATTAGTATAGTGATACGTGCTTTTTTATACTGTCTGTTGGCTTCTCGTGATCTATTCTATTTTATTCTATTCTATTCTATTTCTAGTGATCTATTAACTTTTTTTCTGATGATGTTACCTTTGGGAAATCTAATTCTTTTAGTTCAATTTTGAGCAGTACCAGATTTATTGAAATGATCTCCTGTTGATTCATGATTATCTTCATTGATAATATTTCATGGGATCCTACACATATCCTTCCTATATCTAGTATAGAAGTTCTGCTTTGGAGACATTTTACTGGATTGATATATTTGAGTGAGATCTGATGAATGGCAGTGAGACATGAAATACAGGTAAGATCAAGATGCCTTAACATAAATGTCTGTATGTGTTTAGTCATTTGTACTTTTTTTCACTTCTTACTTCAAGTTTTTAAACATTTGTGTTTATATATTTATCAATGCAGTTTTGGTTCACTTTATGTCTAATATTGTGTTTCCATTACCCAAAATAAATATAGTGAGCTCCTACTTGACAGGGATTATTTTCTTACTATTACCTAACCCTACAATTTCCAAAGAAAAGGGTTTGGTTAAAGCTTATTAAATAAACAAACTTGTGAAAGGAGGAGTGAAAAAATTTTGTGAATAATGCTTTAATACAGATTTAGACTTAGATTTTGACAGAAATGCCATGTAATTATAGTTACTTAGTAATTAATTACAAACATTTGATAGAGTAGCAATGAACCTATAAAATTTGATTTTTTTCTATAGTCTTATTTTATTCAGTGAATTGTATAGTTCTTGTTTACAACTTCATCTTTTACAACTCTTCTAGACTTTTTCAGAGAGTTGAGAATGTTATCACAGAAGACACTTGGGTTTTTCTTCAGATTCATTAGGGTTGTTAGGGAAATGTTTCTGGGGATGTTAAGAACCATTTAATGAACATGAAAGGGTATTCTGGATGCTTCCATTGATCTAACTTTTTAAACAGTTTTGAGAAATCTGAATGCTTAGTTTTGGTTATTAGGTCTTAGTCAAAGTGTTCAGTTACTAGAAACAGCATACATTAATCTTCTTATAGCCACTATTATCTTTCAAGATTTATCCTTAAAAATATATGTCTGCCTCTCTGCTGTGTATCTGTGACATTGATATTAAAAAATAATTGAGCCAAGTGGTTGAGGCACATGCCTTTCATCCCAGCACTCTCGATACAGAGGCAGGCAGATCTCTGAGTTCAATGCCTGCCTGATCTACAGTGAGATTTCCAGGACAGCTAGTATTACATAAAGAAACACTGTCTTGAAAAAAAACAGATCAAACAGAACAAACAAACATAAAATGAAAACCAACCAACCAACCAAAAACAAAACAAAAAACAAAAAGTTAAGTATTTAAGAGCATTGTATGTGTGTATAACAACAATTAATGACAAAAGAGGTCATGGATATTAAAAAGAGCAAGGGAAGTATATGGAAAGATTTTTGATGGGAAGGAGTAAATGATGTAATTATACTATAATCTCAAAAAAATAGTTAAACAAAACACCCAAAGGAAGAAGCACAAAGCCATTCCTCCCAGGTTAGCTGGCATTGGCAACACTAGTCTGTGTGATCATGACTTAGAATAAAATGGCTAAGGGACTATGGGCCACTAATATATGCCAATAAACATTAAAAGACCATATTAATGTGTTGGACTACTTAAATCAAACTAGAGTTCCCTTGCTATCCATATTATTATACTTTCCCATATTCATGCACAGTTTTAATTACATTGAGTTATACTTGAGAATTTCTTAAGCCAGACCAGAAACTAAAAAGATTTAAGTAACTACCCAGTTATTTTGAGACTGGGTCTCCTATATCTCAGGATGGGCTCAAACTCACTGTGAGCTATGGATGACTTTGAACTTCTAATCATCCTGAATAAGCCTCCATCAAATTCAGTTTGAACATTTTAGGTTGTGTTCAGACATTATTTTTATTTTATGTGTCAAATCTTGGAGTTACAGACAGTTGTGAGCTACCATGTAGGTGCTGGGAATTGAGCCCAGGTCCTCTGGAAGAGTAGTCAGTGCTCTTATCTGCTGAGCTATCTCTCCAGCCCTTAACATTTTAGGTTGTAAAGATTTTAATACTTACTGTTGCATGTAAGCTAGCTTCTGTTCTAGTGGGAAAGCAGTGATATGTGTTGTGTAGTATGTCACTTTATTATTTTATTTTATTTATTAATTTTTACATTTTCAAGACAGGGTTTCTTTGGTTAGCCTTGGCTGTCCTGGAACTAGTTCTGTAGACCAAGCTGACCTCAAACTCATAGAGATCCACCTGCCTCTACCTCTCAGGTGCTGGGGTTAAAAAGGTGTGTGCCATGATTGCCTGGCCCTGTGTAATATGTCATAACTGTTTAAATAAAATTTTATTTCCAGATATAGCCTGAGATAATATATTTACTAATCCTTGTACTAGAGCATTGGCTAAATTAGAACCTTAAAATTACATTAACTCAAACACATGGTAAAATATATGAGAATCATTTCTCCATTTTACTTTCATAAAAATAACTTTTAGTTATTTTATCAGGTCTCAGTTGTAAGAGTGATGCATATATTATCATGATATAATCCATATAGTTACCATAATGCAAGAAAATAGCAAAGTAAGAGTCTATCTATAGTTATAACTGATAAATTAAATTTAATAAGTGTAACTTCTCCACATTTCTGCTTTTTTGTTTCCTCATTTAGTGGACATTATTTTCTTTTTTATTTTACTACTCATTACATTTATGTATAAATGTTATTCCTCAGCATCATTGGTTTCATCTATACCCCTTGTACAGTGACGAAACCACTTTGATTATAGCAAAATTTTTACAGAAAAGGTTACTTTTTAGTCTATTAAAGTTAGAGTCAATAGTATGTGTAGCCAATGGATCCTATTTATTCTATTTATGTTTTATTTTCTTAATTTCTTCATTTTCATATTGTCTGGCTCTAAAGGTTAAAGTTAGAAAGGAAGAATCTAGAATCTAGAATTTGTTAACTTAAAATTAACTTGTAACTAATTCTTCTTTTTCCTTCAATTATTCATTCAAAATATATTTAGTGTTTTATTTTATGAAAGGCTCACTAAATCAATTGGGAAAAAAACATCATGAGTAAGTAGAAAAGCATATAAATTAATGATTCATAAATGAAGTGTTATGAATGGCCACAAACATATAAAATACATTAAATTATGTCAGTCTTTATTACTAACTGATTAACTTTGAAAATCATTAAATCAGAACATAAAGGATATATTAAGAAATGAATTTCCCCTTTTCACCTATCAGATTTGCCAAAATACTTAGAAATGAAATTTGAAACAATTGAAAATTCTGATACTGTTGAAAATTTTAATTAAGATAGACATATATGATGAAAATTAGCACATTTTGATCACCAATTTAATTTTTAGATAATTACTTATAGTTTGTAATTAGAAACAAGAAAATTTATGTAATAGTAAGTATTCATCATAATCAATAATTATGCTTGTAATTATTAATTAACTTGTGATTAATCATAGTTCTATTTATCTAATTTGAATATGTTCACGTATTATGATACTGTATGTTCAAATTAACTGTTAAAAATCCCAATTTGAAAAATTCATTTGTTGCTGAGTGCCAGTTATGTCCGAAGCATTGATTTATTTATTCATGTCAAATGTTATATGCATATGCTTCTTGTGGCCAATAAAACAATTTTTAGCAGGGATATTTAAAAATATTCATAGTGATTTGTTGTCATTATTTTATTCTTGTATTTATATGGGTGTGTGATTGTTATTTATATAATTTCCTAAATATTAAATTTATATAATATATATATTGATATAAAGTATCTTAATTGTTGTATTTTTGTATAAAAGACTATAAAGGACCAGTGAAATGGCTTAGGATAGATAAAGCTGCTTGTTATCAAGAGTGACAACCTGAGTCTGAGTTTATCATACAGAGAGAGAGAGAGAGAGAGAGAGAAAGAGAGAGAGAGAGAGAGAGAGAGAGAGAGAGAGAGAGAGAGAGAGAGAGAGGAGAGAAAGGAGAGAGAGGAGAGAGAGGAGAGAGAATAACATTTTAAAGAGTTGGGCATGGTCATACATGCCTTTTATCACAGCACTTGGGAGTCAGAGGCAGGTGAATCTCTCTGAGTTCCAGCAATCCTAGTCTACAAAGTGAGTTCCAGGACAACTTGGCCTGTTACAAGGAGAAACCCTGTCTTGAAAAAAACAACAATGAAAAAGCAACAGTAATAATATTATCGTTTAAAAAATGAAATATGGTCTCCACTACCTCTCTCCATTGCACCTTTTCTTTTCCTGCTTTTCTATAATATGCCCTTCTTCCTCTTGTGTTATTTTTCTGAGATTAGGTATCTCATTATATAGACTTAGAATATTTGGCAACTGAGCTGACCAAATGTGAATGCTATAAACACTTACTGGAATATTTTTTCCAGTTGTAGTTCATCAGGTTGTGTTCAGATAATATAGCAGCTCCTTACTAAAATACATGTTCTATAATGATGTTATTTTCCCCTTTTTTTTTCATTCATTCTAACTCTTTTTGTTTTTTAAGTGAAAACTTTATGGTAAAGAACTTTCAGATAAAATACAACACACAAAAGTAAGATTAGCCTGACCCTACATTTGTAGTTCTCAAGGAACTTCTTTCCTGAGATCTGTGACTTTGCTTAATATTGTACATTTTAAATCTATGTATTTTCCTGAAAATTTTCTAATTTACTTTTTCTTAAGACCTGAATAGTATTCCACATTATGAATTTTAATGAATTTACCCGATTTTCATTAATGCTTCATCCATTAGGTTGATTCCATTTCCATGCTACAGTGAGTCAAGCAGTAGTGAATGTGGTGTTATACATGTCTCTGTGATAGAGTGTGGCATTCTCTAGGTATATGTCTCTGTGATAGAGTGTGGCATTCTCTAGTTATATGCCTCTGTGATAAAGTGTGACATTCTCTAGGTATATGTCTCTGTGATAGAGTGTGGCGTTCTCTAGGTATATGCCTAGGAGTGAAATACCTGGGACATATGGTAGTTGTCTTTTTAGTTCTATTCTCATGGAATCTCAAAGTTGGACCATTGAATTGAGGCCAGTTTCTTTAAAAGGAAACATGAATGGTCAATAACTATTTTAAATATGTTAAATATTCATAACCATCAGGGAATGAAAACTAAAAGCACTTTGAAATACTACAGTACCACAGTCAGAATGGCTGTTATGAAACAATATGAGAGGATGTGGAAAATCTTTAATACACTTAATAACCTTAAACACTGTTGGTAGTGATACAAATTAATATAGCTATTATGGAAATTATTATGAATTTTCTAACCTTTTCCAACTATAGCTTGTGTCTTATATGTACAGCCATTGTGCGATTCACAGATAGTCACTGAAAAACTATTCCTTGCCTGTGCATACCTCATGAATGCACAGAGCTGCCCCCTGTGAAGGGGGGCCCTTAAAGTAGATCTCTGGTACAGTACCCTTGTTTCTGTCATTGTGGGCCTGTACCCATTTGTATTTATTTCTTGGCCTTGTCAGGAGATGAGTAGGGGTGACATTAGAGGCCATATAGTAGCTTTGAATGTGGAGGCCTGGACTACAGACTTCCCTAATTGCACCATGGACCTTGCAGGTCAGCTATCAGCAAGAGAATCTGCCTCCTCCATATTTTAAGTCCCACCTGCAGTACCTGTCCGACTTGTTCTTTCCCGAGGTCTGTATTCATTTGGAAGAACTGAGCCTTAATGTGGTTTATTCTGATGCTTTGGAAGCAGATTGGGTGAGAATATACAGTCCTCATCCCCTTGGATATTGGCGGAAGTGCTCATTGACACACAGGGTATAGTTGAAGACAGTCCAAAGACAACATCACATGACCACTGAAACACCAAAAAAGGATGCCTCACTCACATGTTGAGCTTAGTGGTACAAGGAGGCATTGTGTGACAAAAAAATATTGAGAAATCACAGATGCAGAAGGCTAAAGGTATTTGGATACACCATACAAAATGATGCTTTCATGGAGTTCATAGATTCCAGTCATCTTAAAAGATGGAATTCGCCGGGCGGTGGTGGCGCACGCCTTTAATCCCAGCACTCGGGAGGCAGAGGCAGGCGGATCTCTGTGAGTTCGAGGCCAGCCTGGTCTACAAAGCGAGTTCCAGGAAAGGCGCAAAGCTACACAGAGAAACCCTGTCTCGAAAAAACTAAAAAAAAAAAAAAAAAAAAAGATGGAATTCTAGAATTCCTCACTTTGTTGGAAAAATGTGTGTGTGTGTGTGTGTGTGTGTGTGTGTGTGTGTGTGTGTGTGTGCATGTGTGTGTGTGTGTGTGTGTGTGTGTGTGTGTGTGAGAGAGAGAGAGAGAGAGAGAGAGAGAGAAAGCGCTTGTTTCTTGGTGTCCCATTACCCTAGACAGAATGACCCGTATTCCAATATTGATAGAGAGGTAGACATACAACCAGTACAGCAGGTTAACCATTCTCCATCAAAATGGACAGATAATTGTACACAGACTTTGAGGAAAGGCAGCATGGAGGAATACTTCCTACTTGAAAAAGATGTTCATGGAGGCATAGTTTAGCTGTGGAAATGCCCAGAACTTGGGCTAGCACAGGTCAGCAAAACCCAGTGAGTTTGTCCTTGGAAATGCAATCAAGGCTAACACTGAGAAGGAGAAACAATGGCAGAAGATGGCCTATGATGGAAGTTTAACATTGGTTTGCTTTAGTTGGAGGAATCTCATGTGTTGGAAAGTTTGGGATTTTTGTCAGTGACTATAAAAATGGTACAAAGACACTTGTGAAGGCCAGAGAGGGAGACCAACAGAGAACAAGACCTTAGCATTCAAACAACTTTCCTCCAGAGAAAGTTTTGAAGAATATATCCCATGCACATGGCAGCCTGATTAGGAGGGTGTGTGGAGAGCATGTGAAATGAAGAGGAGGTGTTACCTGGTGTTCCCAACCAGATGGGAGCATTGCAACACCAACCCTGTTGTAGCTGTTCCCCTGTAGAGATTGTATGTGTTTTATGTTGCTATCTCAAGGTTTGATTTCCATGATCTTCATGCCTTCAGTCCAATAAGACGAGCCACAATATCACTTCTAGACGAGTGAAGACATCCAATTGTGCCTCATGCAATGCAGTTCAAAATTCAGATCCTATAGAGAAAAGTAGAGGATAATGGTAACCATTATTTGAATTCTCCAAGGTGCTCATGACTCTAAGGTCTTGGTGGAACTGCTAGAATTTAACACTTCAAAACAAATCCAAAAGTCTCGGATTTCCATGTCCCACATTTAGAACTGTCAGTTACCACCTTGAGGAGGCAAGGTACCCTCTTCTCCTGGATGCAGAAGGTCCTAGAGTTCATCATACTTCCCAATTTTCTGCAAGTTTCAGAGTACACTGACCACCTTATTGCTAATACCCTCCAGCTTGGGTGGACCAAATGGTTATTCATATTCAACCTTCATTGTAAGAGATGAACAAAATAAGTGAAAACTCATTATCATCATTCTAATCAAGACTAAGATACAGCATATCCACTGACCCAAGTACTCTATAAGTCAGGCAAACTTTTCCAAGTCACTCTTCTCCCTTGCTGACAACCAGCTTTGGCAAGTCACCTTTCAGAGGGGCCTGAGTTTTCAGGGGTTTTTTGTTTGTTTATTTGTTTGTTTGTTTTTTGCAAACACACATGTGTACAGTAAAGGGAACATTTTGGGTACCTGGGAAGCTCCCTGTGGTCTTGTTCCTGGGCAGGCAAGAGTGGAAAGTTTTAGGACTGGCATGAAGTGAGAGAAAAGAGTCAAAGACAGAAGCAATACAGGCACAAACAGTTTGGCAAGGTTGATAATGACCATGAGTAATGTGTCAGAGAGCTGCACTGAAATAAGACTGTCTTAAAATTTGCTTTGTTGGGACTTTTAGCAGTATAATCCACAATGATGGGCTGCATCTATTTTGGGGATGAGCAGAAACAGTGTGAGTCTCTGAATATCAGAGCACTGTTTGAAGCCATGGTTGGAAAGAGAGACAAAGACAATGTCTGAAGCAGATGAATATGGGTGGAAATATTAAGGCAACTTCACGTAGTTAAAAGGGAGTTTTATTTTGGGGGATAACTTACAAGTAAACGGATAGGTTACAGGTCCAGGAGAGGTGAAGTGCAGTCCAGCAGTGTTCTCTGGAGAACTCTGTACCATCCAGCATCAAGGATTACCAGGAACCAAGAGAGCCAGCACATCTGGATCTCAGGTCTTAAGGGCTCCCATCTTGGCCCGCCTCAGAGGCAGGCCATAGGTAGGCTTGGCGGTTACCAGAAACCTCAATGAGGGTAGTACTTCCAGGTCAAAGCTAGAACAGCTACCCACTACAGATGAAGGCTAGAAGAACTATGCTGAGGGGGCATGCCATCTTCAGTCCTGTGTGTTGAACGGTTGCTTCATAAAGCCAAAAACTGTCTTGTATCTAGATAGGCAGTCTGTCTTGTGACCACCTGAAAGAAGTTCAGTGGACCTGCTTGGAAGAAAAAGGGCCACATGAGTGAAACATGGATGGCACAGATATACAGGTTTGTTTGACCAACTTACACCCATACATGTGCACCTAGATGCCTGGAATGTTGGAATACATAGGTAGAAGCATTGAGATACATGTACCTTTGTACAATGCGGATATATGAATCTGTATAGAAATCAATGTATAGCTGAGGTGGTGGTGCACACTTTTAATCCCAGCACTTGGCAGGCAGAGGCAGGCGGTTCTGTGAGTTCAAGACCAATCTGGTCTACAAAGTGAGTTCCAGGAAAGCCAGAGCTGTTGTTCAGAGAAACCCTGTCTTGAAAATCAAAAAAAAAAAAAAAAAAGAAAGAAAAGAAAGAAAGAAGGAAGGAAGTGGAAGAAGAAAGAAAGAAAGACAGACAGACAGAAAGAAAGAAAGAAAGAAAGAAAGAAAGAAAGAAAGAAAGAAAGAAAGAAAGAAAGAAAGAAACATGTATAATGGTACATTTGATCCTGGCACTTTTCTGGGGATCTTTGGTCCACCAAAATGGTTTCTACCAGGAAACTGACAAGGTAAAGATATGAGAGTCCTGGATACACAATTGCCAGGGCCACTCACTTTCTGAGGAGTTAGATTGCAGCAATATTTGGGCTCTACATATGTCTGAACAAACCTTGAAAATGTAAATAGATGTCCACAGTGAAGCTACCAAATAACATGGACTGCTTAATAGAGACATCTCTCTGTCTTTATAGGTCACGAACAAATTTCTGCCTTGTGCTGGGCCTTGGCATCATGGGGAGTGGACCATGCTTAGCTGATTTGACACAGTAAGACAACAAGAGCAGCTGAGGCCAGGTATTTGGAAATCAGCATTCCTTCCTCATACTTAAAACTTGAAGGCAAGCGGTGAATTTGGAGATGGGACTCCTCTGTATTTTGCATCATGGCCCATAGTACCAGAGGGTCTCTCTTGTGTTTGGATGAACATAATAAGAATAGAGACAAAATGAATTATAATCAGAAGTTTTAGAGATGATGTTTCAAGGAAAGTAGGCTTTGTCTCCAGTTTGGTGGCTACTGAAAGAAGTGGTCAGTGGCAGGAAGATAGGTGTGAAGATATACAGAAAGAGACAGAAAAACTAACGACATAGAGAAAGAGAAATGTAAATTGGTTCCCATTGACTTAGAAAGTATGAAATATATTTCTGGGAATGTGGAAGAAAAATCTGCAACCCTCTGGCCCAAAGCTTTGAAGCAAGGATGAAAAGTGAACAATTCAGAAGGGAGATTATGGCCATTCTAAACATTCACATTATTCTTGTTAGAGTAACTTTTAACATGTTGGAGAGACTGGGATTTGTTGTGGGACTACAGAGAGGTGCAGAGGAGATAAGTAACATCAGGAAGGGAGACAGGACTAGACCAAGCTGAAAAAAAACATATTTTTCCCAAGAAAACCCCCAAAAAACCACTACTTGGCAAGGATGAAAGGAGGGTGTAGGGAGAAAGCAGGTGGGTTCAGACACTCAGGGTAGATTTGACTAGGGAAAAAACTACAGAGCATAATTGTCACTCTATAATGAGTCAAGAGCATAGTTCAATATTTTCACAGACACATGTGGTGGGGCCCAAGAATGCAGTGCACAAGAAAATCATCAAGATGACTCAATGACAGGAGCAAGAAACAGAGGGGGCAACAGAAATTAACTTAGAGTCCTTGGAATATTAAGCACAAAAGCCCTAAGAAGGTCAGCATAAATAATATAATAAAGAGTACTGATATAGCTTAGATCATGGTGTAGCTAAGAAGAACAACCATGTATATAAGAAGGAATGTATAGAAATGTCACAGAAAACAGACTCAGGATAATCACATAAAAATGTACAGGTAACTACAAGAGCTTACTGAATGGTGCGTATTTGGAATATCTCACATTCTCAAATACCCACCCATGTCCCAACTGCCCTGAAATGCCTTGAACTAGGGCATTCAAGAATGCTTGGATCGATGAAGATTTCCAGTCAAACAATCCTTGGAAAAGCTGAACAAAATGTGAAAAAACTCAGTACCGCCGCTCTCATCGAAACTGAGGTCCGGCACCTTGGCTCACCCAAGTCCTCTGGGAGTCAGACACAGGCCTGAGAACCACTCCGCTGCTCCTGCCCCCCTCCAGCAGTAGCCAGACTCTCTTCCCGTGGGCGTGATCTTTGCCCCACTCTGCTCGCCATCACGGGCATGGGGAAAAGAGAAGATTTGGGGCTTGCTGGCCAGCAAGCAGCCATCCCCACTCTCCCAAGCCAGACTGACAGCTAGACATGGGACCCTGGACCTTGGGCTCTCTTGGAGGCACTCTAGAAATAGGCTAGCTTCGGACACCCACATGAAACAGGCGTGCTGACCTGTGTAGATATCTGCACAGTGGAGGCCTGTGGTGGAGTCGGTAGACCAGGGGACACTGCTGGCCTCCTGGTGGAGGAGACAGGTGTGAGAGTGCTTTTCTCTCAGCCATGGTAGTGGAGGTCCTGTGGAGGCTCAAGCCAATCTCAAAGCTAGGGAAGATACCTATTTTGTTGAGTGGTCTTCACCAGCATGTGATTCTTCCAGGAAGGCCTGTTTGGAGGCCGGCTAGGGATCCCTTGTAGGAATTGCACTCTGGGGCCCAGGCTGTAGATCCAGACTGGCTGGAGAGCTCTGCTCACGGGCAGTGGAGGGTGCCAAAGCGACTTTGTCTTGCAAGGGTGCGTTTCTGGTCATTGGAAGCCATGTGTGTTGCAACTCCTCTTGGGACGTGCCGGATTCTCTGGCTTGCCCTTGGCATCCCTGTAGCTAGAGTTTTCCTGCCTGGCCCACAGTCAGGACAAATGTCTCTCAGCCGCCAGTCCCAGAGCCGCTCAGACTCACCCAAGCAAACACAGAGACTTATATTGCTTACAAACTGTATGGTCGTGGCAGGCTTCTTGCTAACTGTTCTTACAGCTTAAATTAATCCATTTCCATTAATCTATAGCTTGCCACATGGCTCGTGGTTTACCGGCATCTTCACATGCTGCTTGTCATCGTGGCGCCTGGCAATGTCTCTCTGACTCAGCCTTCCACTTCCCAGCTTTATTTTCCTCCTTGTCCTGCCTATGCTTCCTGTCTAACCAATGGCCAACCAGTCTTTTATTTAGTGACCAATCAGCAACACATTTGCCATACAGAACATCCCACAGAACTTCCCTTTTCTTTTTCAAAAAGGAAGGTTTTAACCTTAACAAAGTAAAATTACATATAATTTGGGAATTTGGGCGTAGCTTCTCTTACTATTTCCTGCTGGATTGGGGTGCTGTATCTTATGGGGATACAAAGAAAATTTTAGGATTATGGAATAGTCCATGAGGGTGTATCATCTGAGGCAGTTGCCTTCAAACCATTCTGGATGTTGGATCATCTGGGCCATGGTGTCATCAGAGACCTTTCAGGGGGTCTTGGCTGGTCACACCTGATGTATCTTAATCTGGAACAAATCCATAGCCTCTGGCTTTCTGTGGCAACAAAAAAGACTCTTTTCCAAAGCAACATATCCTTATATCCACATTTTGAAGTCAAGGTATCTTTAAAATGTACATTTTGGCATAACTCAACAGCTTTTACAATCGAATGTTTTTCTGCAGTTAAAAATCCCAAAGACAACACAATCCAGATTCTCTGTGTAATATTCATCTTCACGTGGCTTATTTTTTATATTACCTTTACTGTCTCTTTAAAGACTTTATTTTTAAAAACTATGTATTTCTTTATATAACTGTATATATTCCTTTTCCTCTCTCTTCCAAGCCTACGTATATTTTACACACATTGTAAAGTATTACATCTGAATCTGTCTTATTGTGAATCTATTGCTTTAAACTGCAGTAGCTGTGGCTGCTGGCTCCGCCCACCTCAGCTTCCCAACCTGGCAGTGGTAGTTGACCGCCAGCTCTGGGAGCTATCGTGGGTCTATGCTTTTATCCAAGCCGCGTGTAGCCCAGAAACCTCTTGTTTTGTT